CGCCGGAGGCGAGCGTGTTGTAGGCCACAACCCAATTTCCTGATCAACCGGAAGGCGCGGATGTCGACAGTACATTAACATAAACGGGGACTTGCCTGTAGTTGAGTGCGTGGAAGCACGATGAGCTAACAACACCATTGGCAAGTTCATTTCTCAGTCACCCCATTTGGCCGCAAGCCACTCCTTGATCGTTGGGTTATTACGCTCGGTCAGGGTATTGTTTTGCGAATGAAATTTTGCCGCCCCTAGCCGTCTGCAAGCAATGACGAAACTCTTCGCTCTCGAAGCAAGGCCCGTGATTGGCTGGGATCATTTTTGTCACCCCATGGCTGGCCACAGTGTAGTGCATTAACACTCCGCTGATCGTCGTCGCCCGCTGATTCGGCACGGCTGCCACCTCAATCCATCGCGACAGATGTTCTGTCATCATCACGATGTATTGGTTCCCACTGGTTGTCACCGGAAAGGGGCCCATGACGTCAACTGACCACAACTCGCCGATTTCTGAGACAGGAATGGGTTCCATGGGATGGGTCGCCCCTGTCGTATCCGCTTTCATTAGTTGACAACGCTTACAGGACACCACATAATCCATCACCTCACTTCTCATCCCGGGCCAGTAGGCCCTCTGCCGAAGTAGGTCGTATGTCTTGGTGCACCCTGTATGTGCCATCTCATGGCATTCAACGATGAGATTCCGTCTCAAGACGCGAGGTATCACGGGCAGCACAACATCTGAATCAGTGGCGTTCCAGGAAATTATGCCAGCTTCATTCAGCCTCAGCCGATCAAAGTGACTCTGGAACGCTTCTAATTCCTTGTCTCCCTCTCCGTTCTCAATGTTCCTTCCATCCAACAAGGCGGCTGCAACCTTTTGTAACACCGGATCCTACCGTTGGAGTTGCACCAACTTTCCGGGATCCAGTTCGACGACGAGGCCATTGGCTACAATCATGATCTTGGGGACCTCATCTTCAGCTTCTGGCCTTGATAGCTAATCAGCCAAGTGGTTCTCCTTCCCCGGCACGTGCTGGATTGTGAAGTCGTACTCTTGCAACCGGAGTGCCCAGCGTGCGAGCTTCCAGCGAGGTTCTCTGGTGGTCCTGATCCACTCCAGTGGTTGTGATGGGTTTTGACACGAAACCATTGCCCAAGAAGTTATAACATCCACTTATCCAGCGCCCAGACGATCGCTAAACATTCCTTCTCAATGGTGGAGTACTTCTGTTCAGCGCTTGTCCTGACGCGACTGGCATATTCGATAACTCCATCCCTCTGCTTGAGGACTGCGCCGATACCGCGCTCAATGGCGTCCGTTGAAACAATCAACATCTCTGGGAAGTTTGAGGGTCAGTTGCTGATCCGACATCCGCGCTTTGACACGCTCAAAAGCTTCATGTGCTTCTCCGGTCCATTCGAATTTCCGATTTTGACCGAGCAAATCGTACAGTGGCGCAGCGATCTTGCTGAAATCCTTAACGAAACGGCTGTAGTAAGCTGCACGCTCACGAAACTGCCGTAGAGACCGCTTTGGAAACAGCACAATCCTTGATCTTTGCTAATTTTTCGGGCAGTGGGCTAACTTCTCCCCCACCAACTTTATGCCCCAGGTGTGTTCCCGATCTCCGAGCGAGCTGCGCCTTGGCTTCATTTATCCGCAGGCCAGCTTCCCGAATCCGCTCCAACACAGTCCTCAAGTGAACTACGTGCTCCGGTTCCGAATTGCTGTACACAACGATATCGTCTCCGTACACGACAACATTCTGGAGTCCCTTGGTTACACGAAGCATCAAGCGCCGGAATGTGAATGGTGCCCCGGACAAACCAAACGGCATTCGTCTAAATTGATATTGGATGTCCCCAACCGTAAACGCCGTTTTCTCCCGGTCCTCCTCCTTGATAGGTAGTTGCCAATATCCGGAACGCAAGTCGAACACAGTAAAGTATCGGGAGTGCTGGAGGGAATCGAAAATCTCTGCAACCGAAGGCACAGCCACAACCCGATTTACGGTCAGTTCATTCAAGCGCCGGAAATCCACGCAAAACCTGTATTTTCCGTTCGTCTTCCTTACAAGCACAACTGGGGAATTGTACGCACTGTTGGCTTCTTCGATTATACCATTCTTCAACATCTCCTGAATCTGTCTATGGACCTCCTCCCGTAGATGGAGCGGCAACGGACGGGGGCCATAAGGTCGAAAGCGTTCTGATGACAGAGGAATTTCGTGTTCAATCCACGGGCAGAAGCCAAACGGATCCTCATCGCCCGTAAACAGTTCGGAATATTCCTCAACCACGGCCCGTATTGACGATACATTACAAGACGGAAGTTTTCGGACACACAGCTCCCTCACGACAGTGCCTGGATAACCTTCAAGCTTGATTGCGCCATACTTTGTCACCAGCCTTCCCTGCTTTAGGTCAATCACGGCATCTGTGCCCTTGAGAAAATCGGCTCCCAATATCCTCTGCTCTACGTCTGGACTGATCAGAAACGCGTGCTGCACGGACTTGTCGCCCAGGCGTTTCGAGTGCGTTGACAGTCCGTCAATCTTCAATCGATATCCACCACCAGCTCTCACGGCTAGCGCGCACGGTCTGTGTTCAGCTTGGTTCCTGCTTTGCCTCAGCGATACGCCTGCTCTGGTATCAATCAAACATAACTCTTTTTTCCCCGTCTACACCGACACAAGGCTTGCACGGTAGCTTGTGTCAGTGCGCTAGTCGCGACCCACCCAGGAAAAGAGGAGTACTCTATAGTTTTATTGTGTACAAGCGATCGGTTACGGGGACACTGATTCTTCGAGTGGCCAGGCTTGCCAAACATGTAGCACCGGCTGGATCGAGCGTGCCTCCGTGATTCCGTCTTCACGGCTGCTATCTGTTCGGTGAGTTGGTCCACCCTAGTCTGCAGTTCCTCCACTGATACAGCTTCCCTGTTCTCCTGCGACTGCAACGTGGCCAGTGGTTCCTGAGGCAGCTCCCGGGCCAGACGCACCAGCTCCGCCAATCTCAAATGGCCAGATGCTCGTGCCGACCACAACTGGGCACCGAGCGCGGGCTGAGCACCTTTCACGAAGTGATCCGACAACAACTGGTGTCGCGAAACTCCGTCCGGCGTCGGCAAAGCGCGATCCAACAACTGCTGCAGGCCGGAGAGGAACACGGTCGGATCCGTTCCGGTTGACATCCTGGCCGTCTTGAACTCCGCTGCAAGGATTTCCTTCGCGGCGGCCCAGTCCATCTTCTGAGGGCCTCTTCTGACCACATCCAGGGCCGCCTTCGCCCGGTCCTTGAGGAGGGTCTTCAGTGCTGCCAACTTACGCCGGTCGGTCTCCAGCCCGGAAGCCTCCGCCATCTCCTCAAAATCCTCCAGGAAGATTCGAACATCTCCATCCTCAAAGGGTTGCGGCCACGGGATCTTCATCCTTATTCTGGTCACGGCACCAAATGAAAGGAAGAAGGCCTTCGCTGCGGTGTTATTTCTCCGGAAATGCCAACTGACCGATTATACACCATTGAACAGGGAAGCAAAACTCTAATCTGCATCTTAGTTACAAAAACTGGAAACAGATCTTTACCCAAACGAATCTTCCCAGAGATTCGTTGCCTCCACTCATTCGTCGGTCAAATCCAAGCAAATGTTACAAAGTGGCCCCACGAATTCCGCAACAGAATTCCCTTTTTCATTCGATGCAAAGCGAAATTCTACGAACATCACATACTACACGCGTGCCTCCCGATCAGTAGTATCACCGTTACACCGGTATTAACCTCCCTCGCAATTCATCCCTAACCAAGGTAGCTAGATATTCGTTGCCCAAATTGTGATCCTTACTTCAATTTTGGTTGCTGTCCGATCAACCTCTCCCGTGCACACGCTTAAACAATAATGAGGAAATGCTGGCGAATACCGATTTCGGATGGTCAGACGAGTAGCTTTAATCCGCCGCAGTGTCGGGTGGCTTCACGTACACTGTCGTCTTTAGTTTCCCCCACGTTATGTGTCACGCAGTATGAAAAGACCAGTGCAACCCAAGTTCACTACTCCATACTAAATTGGATCCGCGGACGCAGTTCATTCAGTTAGTTGTAAAACTCACTAATCATCTCTCATTTCATCATGACAAAAGTGTTATCTACATACGGCCAGAATATCTTAGGTGGGTGTAAGAATCCGACTAAAGTTCTCTGTTCATGTTTGTTCCGTAAATATAGTTGCTAAAGCCGGGATTCTTGGAGAATTAATTGTTAAACCTTGTTCGTGTGTATAAACCGCCGGGCCAAAAACGAAGTGGGTGAGATTCAGACATGCTTTTATACCATCCACTATTTAATCTACCGTAAGCTGTGTCCGCTCTGAAAGGATGGTGTATGCTAATAACTGTTACTTGGTTGTTGCTGAAGAGGCTGCTCTTGGAACATTTGAACATAAGGAATTCACGTTGAAACTAACAAAAATGTCATCCAATTCAATAGGGAAACCCGCTACCCTGTTGGATAAGTCATGTGAATTCCTAATATAAGCACTAGATTTTCCAGTGAGGGGCTTTAAACAACTGCCAAGAAGCTCATGCGGAGAAGTACCTATTCCGTTTACTATCTGTCGCGCCGGAATGTTCCAGAAGGTCGGAAGGAGCTCAACCGCTTTGTTCAGTCACTCACTAGAGGAAGCCATGATGATGGTTGGGGGAATCGGCAGCGAATTTCGACACTTTCATCCTGGGTGCAACAACCCAGCATCTAGCGAGAACCCACGGATTGCCAGAGTCGGATTAAGTCATTGTTAGAAGGTGGTATCTAGTCAGTTCCAAGCGCAATGCATTACGATTTCACTGCTTTGTGCAACGCAATGCCAATGACAGTGTTGCGATACCGGTTCACGGTCATTCTCGTTATCACATGCAGGGATTTTGGGCACCGATTCAGACAACACAGTCACATGTGTAAAAACAAAGTTCTGATTGGAGTTAAGCATTCGATACGACTTGATCTGGGCGTTATGCGAGTAACTGTAGTCAGCTATCTTGTCACAATCGGTTCATTATTTGGCATGATCAAATTTGTTCCATTCAGGCTATCCGATGAAATTTGGCTATAACATGATTGATCGGTAAATTTGCTGATGAGTGTTGCTCCTCAGTGAAGGCAAGCGTTTGAATAAAATACCCAGAAAAGCCCCGAAACTTCGTGTTGGACTCTAATAACATTCGCGCTCACGTGAGATAGTGTGTTAAAATTACTTGCGCATTCCAAAAGTATGCTAAGGAAAGATTCATTCAGCCTCAGGTTTTGATAGTGTAAAAAATCTTTGGAATTTTGTGTGTGGAAATTTATTCATGTAAACAGAGGTATTTTATGCCCAAAATCTGAGAAGCACCGCGAATTCATTTCATTCTTACTGGGAATCATCAGAGTTGTGCATCTTACGAACAGTCAGTGAGTGTGGAACCAAACCCGTGACCGTCGAAATAGTACATTCAACACTTGACCGTGTTGAGTCCCGACTGGCGCATCGGTAGTGTGATTAGCTCTCACCAAGTTGAGACATATTGCTGCTCATTCTTCAGTATCGTCAAACCACGTTGCACGGTCGCGTGTAGACCGCCACCTCGACTGACCAATCCCAGGGAATGTTCGGCAATTCCGCAAATTATCTTTTAAGTAAAGCCAATCAAATCTGAAAATCCGCAAAGCAATGTACAGAAATTTCATCCTATTTGTGAATAATCAACAATGCGCAACTCACAAAACCGCGAATAGATATCCGACTCAAGTTGTCCGATCGAAGTTGTAATCGAAGTTAGAAAAATCTCATCTACACTTTTCAGGACATTTTCATTCGACGACCTAATCTTCCGACAAAGGGACGGTACTCCGGAAAGGTGTAATACTTATGCAAACTCCTTAGGTATATTGTGGCGTAGACTGGTTAACTAGAGCAAGAATATTTCAACAAAGATTCTCATTGGCACACGAATTCCGTTTTGACGGGACCCTCAAGAATGGCGAAAATTGTCGTGGGTTGTCCAAGAGCTTTCAGCAAGTTTACGATTAATGTAACTTAAACAACAGCGCATTGCTTTCCTGGAATATCTTACCAACTGAAATACTGAGTAGGTTTGTGCACCACATTCGGTTGAAAGGACGATCACAAACAAGCAGTTCAACCGGATTCATCTGAGTCTCCTGTCAAAACCGAATTCATGTGCAAATGAGCGAAGTTCTCGAAATCCGTCCTTTATTCGTTCAAATAGAATATGGGGTAGATGGAACCTCGGGGACCGATAACTAAGAATGACAAAACCGGTGGTGAGCTGTCAAAGAATTTTCAACAATTTTGTGAGTTGCATGAACATAGTTGACACGCATTCTAACAGCGCCTATCTACTTACCAGCGATACGCTGCACGTAGTTACTTTAGTATGAAACCCGGCATGAACCTGACCGTGGTGATGAAAATCTGGCTCATTTATTTCGGCGAACGCGTTTCTACTCGTCAGTCTACAGCGACATGTATAGGGAATATCCGTAATAGCCAGTTTGTAAGTTATGAACCGGTGAATGTAGGGGAGCCGTTCACCAAGAGGTGTTTATCAGAAAAAATGAACAGCATTTTACAGAGCTTAGGACAGGAAACTGGAACTCTTTCACGCGCCTTGTATTTAAAAGCCTATTATCCCTCTTCATCTCGAACGCGTCCCCTGGAACTCCTCTGGATTTACACAGACTCTCGACAAATTTTCAGCAGCCTTATGAGTAGCACACTAGAAATATACATGTACAGCCATATCTCGAATATCGTATCAGCTGAGCCGTGCGGCGGCCTGGTGCTGCAAATTCAGTTGCTTGGAAATATCCCAAACCCAATGTTCATCTGGGATCCAGGTGTGTCCTCGAAAAACCAAAATAGTTTGCAAATGAGCGAATATTCGCCATTTCATAAGTTGTTCGTTCTCAAAGCTAGGCCGTCTGCTGAACTAGGCCGTATCTTTTTATGTATGTCCCATCTCGTGGCACTTCACAATTAGCTTCCTTCTCAAGACGGTGGATTTCAGCAAATTGTGCCACATTCACTTAACCCAACCGATCGGAGTGACCCTGGGACGTTTTCAATTGCTTGTTTCTTTCTCAGTTCCTAATACTCCTTCCATTTAACGAGGCGACTGCAACATTCCGTAGCCAACCTAGATGATCGTGATCGGTCTCGGTATGAGATCTTTGCCCAAACAGGTATACACCCAACTTATCCATGACCCGGACAATTGCTTTACACACTTTCTCAATCGTTGAGTATTCCCGCTCAGCGTTGATCGGTAGACCACTGGCATATTCGGTAACTTAATTCATCCGGTTTAGAACTGCGCCGATACGGGCATCACTGGCGTCCGCAGCATCCACGAACATCTGTTCGACGCTGGGCGGTGTGCGGGTCCGTTGCTGATCCAGTATCCGTGCTTCGACACGGTCAAGTGTCTCATGAGTTTCTGCCATCCGACTTTGCCCGAACAAACCCTACGGTGGTGCAGCATTCGTGTTGAAATCCTTGCAAGCCAGGCTGAGAATCCCGACGGGTTTTCCAAAATGCTTTCGGTTTTTACCGAACGACCCTTGACGGGTAGCTTGACGGAAAAAACACAACTCACCCTTCGTGGCGATGGCAAAACACGACACGGACCAGCAAAAATTCTGTTTATTTTTGAAACCTTGCACAACACGATGTGTGACTGTTAGGAGCAGACGTTGTGGACAGATTCAATGAGGATTTTGGGATTGTATCCGGCCTGGCACAATTCCATTAGATGGGTTGTATGCTGGGCTACCTCCGGGAACTGAAGACAGAAAAATAACAGAATCTCAGCTAGAATATCAGTTCAGGCTTGCAAACGAAATATTCAGCACGCATACTGCGAACCGAGAATCATGCATGTCCAACACAGTTTTGCGCCAATCCTCGACAGTGCTTCCAATGAAACAGGAATATGTGTTCACACAAGGTTCACCCTATCGTACAACAGAGTTCAGCATTCCCGAGAAAATGTGCCAATGGTGACGCTAAAGAGTGGCGAAGGTTTTCATTGAGGTACACTGAAGTTCGAGCAGATACTGGACTCAAGATTAGAAAAACGTTACTTATGAGAAGTGTTGGCGAGTATCAGCATATCTGAATTTCGGACGTTTC